ACACAGCTCCACCTGGATTCTCCAAACCCCGCAGACCCCTGAGCTCTTTCAGAGGGTGTCTCCCAGGATCTTGTGGGGACCCCACTCACAGAGCAGTTGCCTGTGCCACAGATTACAGTTCAAGGAACCCCGAGTTGAGAGCTCACTCCTCAGCTCTGTCTCTGTGGCTGGCTTCCCCGCTTTAATACCTGGGAGCTCTGCAACACTCAGACACCCCCAATCCTACTGTGACCCCGCAGGACCTGAGGCCACGCTGACCCCACATGGGCTTCACCCCGGTTTAGCCTCTGGAGCAATGTCCCTCAGTGGAGCAGACTTTTAAAAGTCCTGATTTTGTGCTCTGTTGCTCCGCCCCTTGCTGGGAGCTGGCCCCTCCCCCCGCGGTCTATCTTCCTGTCGCTTTGTATTCACTTCTTCCCCGGTCCTACCTTTCAGAAAGTGGTCGATTTTCTGGTTCTAGAATTGTTGCTCTTCTCTTCAATCTCCTGTTGGATTTGTAGGTGTTTGCAATGGATTGATAAGCTATCTCGTTGCTCTCCTGCTACCTGGTGTGGTCTCAGCCTGCTACTTCTCTGCCATCTTGACTCCTCTGCACAAGGGTCTTACAGGATTCTTGCATTCTTTACAGTCTGAGAAACCAACATCTGAGAACCAACATCTGAAGGTAGAGAATCACTTGAGAGGAACACAAAACAACACAAGTCCGTGAGCTTTTCCCTGAAAGGAGTGAATGAAAAATATGCATGAAGGCTCTCTGAGGGCTTATAGCTGCTTTTCTATCATTTCAACTTTTGAAGAGAAAGCACAGTTCTTTATGGTGCATCTTTATAGATAAGGTATTCTTTATAGATAAGGTATTCTTTTTTTTTTTTGTTTTTTTTTTCTCTTTTTTTTTGTTTTTTTTTTGTTCTCTCTTTTTTTTCTCTCTCTTTTTGTTTGTTTACAGTTTGTTTTTTCACAGTTAAGTTGGTTCAGGACACTTAAAAGTCTAGTGATCTACCATGACAGTAGGAGGCTTGCAAGACCAGACAACCAGATGTTGTTCTAGTCATTCCACCCTGAATTTTCACTGTAGGAGTTTCAAGCCAAACTTTTGGCATGATCTGGAAAGAAGTCAGTGTAAGGTAAAAATTTCTGGTGAGAGCTTGGAATGCACATAGATTGTGCTGTTGGTGAGAAAAACACCGTTTGTATTGAAGAACACAGATGAAGCAATTCCATAAATTGACCATACATTACTAGGCTTTGGCCAATGTTCTCTTTGATTTTCTTACACTGGAAATGCAGTAGATAAAACAAGACAAGTCAATGCCTACTGATTGCTGTGTCAAGGGCCGATTTTCAGTGATGATGACTCAGTGAATTCTAGACATAGTAGAACAAAGTGGGGTGCAAGCAAAAGAATAAGTCCCTATGCGTGATTAGCATAGATCTAATCATTACCCCCAAATACTGTATTCTCATTAGTAAGGGAAGATTTGGTCCCCAGATTAAGATGTCATGTTGGAAGACACAATCATCACAAATTGCTAATAATAATAGTAATGATACTATAATATCTCATTTTCACATCATGTTTAGATGTGGAAATCTTATGAAAGATTTTAATACCAATATTTACAGTAGAGGTCAGCATGGTGCAAACATTGTAATAGGATCTGACTCTGTGTCTGTGTCAACTTGCAGAACATGCTCATGCACCAGGGTGCCTGGGTGGCTCAGTCAGCTGAATGTCTTGCCTTTGGCTCTGGTCATGGTCTTGGGGTCCTAGAATCAAGGCCTGCATCAGGCTCCCTGTTGAGCGGAGAGTCTGCTTCTCCTCCTGCATCTCCCCCCACCTTCTGCTTGTGATTTCTCTCTCTCTCAAATAAATAATAAACCCTTAAAAAAAATCCCATGCTCATATAAAACATGGGTAATTGTCATGAAAGTGTTTGGCCCCAAAACAAAGTTGATCATGACAGATAACTTGTGTGAGTTGACATGTTTCCTTTCCAGATGGTGAAAGGGTGTTGTCAGAAAGCCTGGTTTTGGACCCAGGCTGACCTGGAGATCTGGCTTCAACACTTGTTGCTTATGTGAACTTGGGTGATTATACCCTGGCCTCCAGTTCCTAATTCATAAAATGGGATAACAGTATGTATCCAGTAGGGGTCATAAGAAATTTGAATGAGACTGAATAAAGTGCCTGGCTCAATGCCTAAAGCACCGTAGTTGCTGTGTAGGTGTTGCCCCATTTCAAACCTAAGGGGAGAATTGTATCCAGTATGGAAAGTGGTTTGTAGCCAATCATACTGACAGAGCAGAAATTCTTCAGAGGATTTGGCTTTATTTCTAACTGCTCCAATGGAAAATTACCTTACTGTCCACAGATATACAAAAATCTTGAATTTAGAAGTGTTCATTTCTTCTCAGTGGACTTTTTCCAAAATTGGCAACAAAAATGAAATTAAAATGTGTTTTATTTTTTAATTTTTTGTATTTTCTTTATGTATTTTATTTTGGGGGGAAGGTTTATAATACTCAATTTTTATTTTTATTTTTTAATTTTTTTCTTCTCTTTTTTTTTATTATGTCATGTAGTCACCATACAGTACATCACTAATTTTTGACGCAGTGTTCTAGGATTCATTGTTTGTGTATAACACCCAGTGCTCTATGCAGTACATTCCCTCCTTAATACCCATCACCGGGCTAACCTATCCCCCCATGTATTTTAAATCTTAGTCCTTTATCTTAATTGATATCATCTCTAAAACATACAAGTTTGGACTTAGTACTCATATTTAGTAGAAAAACAATTAAAGATTGAAAATATAGTTAGAATGTACTTAGAAATACAGTTAGAGATACAGTTATTACTTTTAAATATACTTAGAAATTCATAAATTTGAAATTCATATTTGCATATGAAATAACTATGATTATTTAACAAAAGAAAAATAAGAATAAAATAGAAAAACTTTGAATCAATACCCATATGCAAGTTTGAAATATCACACTTAATTGAAAATGTGGTTGCATTTGTTTAATTTGTATATAATTCATCTTGTTTCTTTAATAAAATATATACAGTTCAGGCAATTAACTTCAAAACTTTTTTTGATTATGAATATATATAAATGTATTGGGCAAATTTATTTATTTTGTAAACTGGTTTCTATTTTATGCATCATGAAAATGATTTTGGCCATCAAAAAAAACCTTAATAAATTTTAAAAAGAATGTTGAAAGTAAAACATGTAATATAATTACCCAAAATATAGGCACTAAGCATACTAATCAAGTGCACTATTTAATGCTCAGCTAACTATCACATTGAGAAAAATATGGAAGTTCAAGATTCATTCTGTGAAAAGAATGAAAATTCATGCATCTACCTATGGAAAAGGGACAAGAGGTAAGCATACTGTCTTACCATCCAGAAAGTTTCCAAATTCATCCTTTGATTTTCAAGTTCTTTATTATATTTTTTATTTTTTATTTATTTTTTTTAAAGATTTTATTTATTTATTTGACAGACAGAGATCACAGGTAGGCAGAGAGGCAGGCAGAGAGAGAGGAGGAAGCAGGCTCCCTGCTGAGCAGAGAGCGAAGGCAGAGGCTTCAACCCACTGAGCCACCCAGGCACCCCTCAAGTTCTTTATTATGACAAATCAGAATGATTTCTATAAGAAAACCAAGCTTCATAAGATGAAAAGCGGATTCTTTAATCTATTGATGGGAGGCTAAAATTGTGTAAACATCATGTACTGTGAAAAATTAGTCTTGTTTTATATAACACGCTTCTTACAGACAAAGTAGTACATGGTTGGAGAAATAATAGTGTCTTACTATCATAATCAATAAAATGCTATCTATTCTAGAGCAATATATACAAAGTTAAAACAAGTACATTATGATATGTTTCATTATAGCATGAGTAAATAACTCGTCATTGCTTGTTTATGAATTTAGTATAAATAACAGGAGTTTTGCTGCACAAGCACAAATTCTCAAGAATTTTTCAGGAGGGCACATATTGCATGGAGCACTGGGTGTGGTGCATAAACAATGAATCTTGGAACACTGACAAAAACAATAAAGAAAGAAAGAAAGAAAGAAAGAAAGAAAGAAAGAAAGAAAGAAATTTTATTCTTTTCTTCTCAAAGGTGAAATCCAATTCTGGTTTGCTTAGGAAGTTTCCCATTAGATTATTATTCTAACTCTAAACTAGTCCACAGAGAAAATGAATAAAACATCTGTGTTTCACTTGGAAAACAAATTGGAAAGGGTTCTACTATTTATAATTTCAATCACTAAATTAACATAAATATATAAGTAAGGAAAATTTCAGCATTCAAATGGCATGTCCTTGAAAACTCTGATATTTTGACATTACAACTGTAGAAAACTTAGAACCAAAACTATTAACGTAACAACGGTTACGTATAATTGTATTCAGAGGATGAAATCAAATAAAATTGTGGAATACTACAAATTCAGCAGGCTACTAGGGCAGATACAAATTCAGTGGGGAGATACTAAGAGTCAAATTATGGTGTCTTCTTAGTCAAACTTCAACTTCAATTGAAATTCCACCCTAAAATGTGCTTTTAGCACACATTTCCTAAAGGAAACAAAGTTGTGATCAATGCATTACTTGATACAGTTAATATAAGGACATTTATGGAAATTCAGTAAATTTTTTTGAGCAAAATTTTGGAAATATTGCAACATTGCTTCTAAATTCAAGGCCTTGTAAATAATTTGGAGGCGCAATTTTAATACTTTCCTACTCAAAGTCCTAGAGTGATTCAGATGTGAAAGTGAAATAGTCTATAAAGTCAGAAATCAAGGAAAAGAATTCCAGTATCAGAAGAAGTCATGAGATCCATATTTAAAGTTCAATTTGATATATGTCATATACATATGGAAATATATTCCCATTCATACAAGTTGCTATGTATTGTTCCAAAAAAAATTCCACGTCTTAAGCCAGGTTCTGTCACTTAATAGCTATGACTCTGAGTAAGTAACATAATCTCTAGGACTTCTTTTCCCATGGAAACTAAGAAGAATTAATAATTCAAAACCCACTGTGGGTGAAAGGCCATGGCAAATACTAGTTCTATAGCAAGTTTTCCTTCCTTTTACTATGTTAGGTATTCCCAAACCACAAAATATTTGTGTTTCTCTAACATATTTTTAATTGCTCTTCCATTTTCTCCCACAGATAAAAATCCTAATGAAGACATTTCCACCAAGCCCACAGTATTTCTTCCTTCAATTGCTGAAATAAAAGCCCTTAAGGCTGGAACATATCTTTGTCTTCTTGAGGATTTTTTCCCTGATGTTATCAAGATAGATTGGAAAGAAAAGGATGACAAAAAAAATTCTGAAATCCCAACAGGGAAACACCATGAAGACTAAGGACACATACATGAAATTCAGTTGGCTGACCGTGACTGGAGCGTCAATGGTTAAAGAACACAAATGTATCATCAAACACAAGAATAATAAAGGAAGAGTTGATGAAGAAATTCTTTTTCCTTCAGTAAACAAAGGTATGTGCATATAAGTAGGCATATAACCTGAACCCTTTGTTTCAAAGGGAATGTCCCAACTTTTCTGTCAAGTATTAATGGAAAATAAACAAATAGAAATCTTTCTTTATCCTGTTACCTTTAATGGTAGCATCACTGTCCTGCTGTTTCCCTATAGAATTGAAATAGTATAGGCTTTGAACATACAGAGAAAAAGAAGAGGAAGAATTCATATAGCCTCAGTTTCATCATCCAAAATATGAAGGTTACAATGTTGTTTTTAGAGTCATTGTATGATTAAAGGAAGCAATACACGTGAAAGCCCTTGCCGAACTCCCACAAAATAAATGGTCAAAAGAGAGTCCACTTTGATGATCTTACCTGATCAGGAAGTAAGAACAATTATACATCTTTCATGAATGTTCTACTCATCAAAGTCCCTCTCACTTCATTCTTGCTCTACACAAAGTATAACCCATCAACAATGAATTATAAGTTACAAAATGCTGTTCATTTGATAGAACCAGATCACAGTTTAAAAAAATAGTAATTTGGCTGCTGAGGTCTTGTATGGTCTTGGGCTTCTCAGATTTCAATTGTATGTACCACTCTAAGGTGAAATTTGATAATTAAAGATTGGGTGAGGCTAATGTCTATAAACATTCTTCCATTCTACACAGTGAATGTATTTCTTACCATTGGTAAATCTTCTCGGCAGACATCTATTGCCATCCTCGTGAGTGCCAGTCCACTAAGGGATGAAGGACTAACTACTGTCCCAAGGAGAATCACTACCATAAAGCAAATATCCTTTTCCTAATCACTCATATTCACTTGTGATTCAGACATAGTGTCCAAAAGGAGCCCCACTGGTGCAGACACTAGACATATTTAGAAAGTGTGGGCAGGCAGCTGAATGTGTCTGGGCCAGGCTTTGATCAGTAACTCACTAGACTCAGAAGTCAAGTCCTGAGCATTAATGTCACAGACCAAAGCCCCAAAGGGGCCATAAGAAGGAACTTTTGTTTGTACTTTTCCCTGTGGGTCACAAGCCCCTTTTTAAGCCATGGGGAGCAAACACATAACAAGGTGTATGAGGAGCTTTCTACAGACAAGTCCAAGTTTCTGAAGTCAGTCTCCGTCTTCCTGGGTCTTTTAAAATGAAAACCACAGGTCCAAATGGCAACACTTAGCTTAAGGTCCCACGTAACTAAACTGAGACTTATTACCTAACTCATGTGCAATTTCAAACCCCCAGAGCAGTGACCTTTAACAAGTGACCATAGGAATTTCCTGGTTAGCTCTATGATGTTTCCTGATTCAATTCTGCTTAGAAGGGCGATCTTAACTTACACAATGCATCTTTGCTAATAATTTCATTTTCCACACTCCCTGCTCACTTCCTCACTTCCTTCTTTCTGTAGTCCTTTGGAGCTACCCTCTACTTGCTAGATGGCCTGTTGCCCCACTCATAATTGGATTGATTAATATAGCCATTGGTCTTTAACATTTACTTGGTTGAATTTTTGCTAACAGATTCGGTGGTAGCCACAGATTTGGTGGCAGCAACAGTATCCAAAGTGGACTTCTCGGCATTCAGAGATAAGGAGAAACACAGGGGTGATAACTGTGAGGCCTATGAGTTCATTGTCTTTCTCACCATTCTCAAGGGCTCTAGGTGAGTTCTACTTCATTCTAAGCTCTGCTCTCCTTGCTTTTATGCTCCTGATCTAATTGGCTTTTCTACAGGGTGAGTCAGCTTGGGCTGGCAGATAGTTATGCCTATACCCCAGTGAGGTGGCACATTTGTCTGGAGTCCTATTGATCTGACATATCTGCCTAGAGCCCTGATGAAGTGGCAGGTGGTCTACATGGAGCCAAGCCCCTAAACTTTCAGACCACAGTTCCCTGGACAGAAACCTCAGCAAGGTTCCAGGAGAATTACTGGTGGTGCACACAAAGCCTTCTTATGGACAAGACACAGTAACTTCTCTTAGATACACATACACTACACATACACTAGGGTACAGATAATTGTCTTGTTTCATGTAGATAAAAGCTACTGCTAAAAGGGATCTCAGAGGCAGAAAAAGCCAAAATCAAAAAACCAAGATAAAACAAAACAAAAACAAAAAATGCACACAGGTCAAGCATTAAAGGCTGTTAGAACACTCACTACCTCACGAATATTCCCCTGATAGTCTGATAGTATAAGTTGATCAGAGAATGGGTTGGATGAGCATGAGGTAATTCATGAATCTCAAGAAAATTTCTATGCAATAATCCACACTGATAAATATGCACAATCTCCAATTCTAGATTACTTCTGCTCCTAGAAGCCCAAATGTTTAGCTAATGCGATCCTTAAATTCTGAAGTGTCAAGTTCACTGCTTTCCAGTACACCAGTTTATTTTACATCTAGGAACTATAATCCCAGATATAATGGCAAAATCTTCCTAAGTTTGTTTTGTGTCCTTGAGGAACTGGCTTGGTGATTGTCAGACTGGAGACCCCAACACAAGGCCAGAAGGTTTAGGTCTACATTTCATTTGTGGCTACTTTACGGCAGGACCAAAGTGTGGCTTAACTCCATTCCAGGAGTAGCTGACACCCGGATAGACTGCTCTACCAAAACAATGGATGAAGACTTCATACGATAACCAAACATGAAACACTTTTTCCCTCTTTTTTTTTTTCCCCTTATCTTTGGCACTGGCCTGAGAAGGTAGCATCTTGATCTGTATCTCCCAGGTCATTGTCAAGGGGGCTAAACTCTGGAATTTAGAGCAACCTGTACTTCAGGTTAGCACAAAATCTAACGGCTGGTCCTAAATTTTCTCAAGCTAAGTAAGACAGCTCACTGGTTGACTCCCCTAAATTTACATCCTGAGTTGGAATGAACCTACCAAGAAGTTTTTGAGACCCAGGATTCACTCCTTTGGCAGAGCCCTACTTCCCTGGTTAGGGATAAATGTAAATGAGGTACCATCAAGAACTTCTTCATTCCTGAAATTGCTGCAGAATCTCTTGCTGAAGCAAGGGCTATCCAACAAAAAGCCTTAGACTCTAGCTAAAGTCGTTCTTGAAAATAAGTTAGCCCTTGATTATCTCTCAGCTGAGCAAGTCTGGGTCTGTGGTATAGCCACCAGCTGAGTCCTGCCCTGGATTAACACTTCAGGGAAGTTACAACTCAGTAAACATCAGCTCACTGACCAAGCCATGGGGTTTAAAAGAGTGACTCCTTCAGTGTCTTTCTTATTTGACTTTAATTGCTTTGAGTCTCAGGGACCATGACTTCAAGTTGCACTAAAACATTGGGAATTATAGTTTATGGTAATTCTGTTTATAGTAATCATAATAATCCATGTAGTGTGCTCTGCTCTCTTAAAAGACTTAGGTGCAAGCTCAGAGCCATAGACTGGAACATCAAAGAACAAAGAGAATGACCAACTCAGAAATCATAAAGCTGAAGTGGTAAATTGGGAATATCACAAAGATTAAACAAAAAGGTCAAGAACTGTGAATGCCACACTAGGCAACAGTTGCTGAGAGTGGTGTTAATGCTTCAGTTTTGATCCCAGCTCTCAGTTAAGCTGAGAGTCTGATCAAAAGGCAGGGTTGTCAAAAGGAAAACCACAAGCTCAAAATGGCCTCATTGGCTTGAGGCTCCAAGTCAGTGAACCAAGGCTTAATACCAACCCAACTGTAGTTAGTTTCTTCCTTTCTTTCTTTCTTTCTTTTTTCTTTTCTTTCTTTCTTTCTTTCTTTCTTTCTTTCTTTCTTTCTTTCTTTCTTTCTTTCTTTCTTTTTCTTTCTTTAAGATTTTACTTATTTATTTGACAGAGAGATCACAAGTAGGCTAGGAGGCAGGCAGAGACAGAGGGGGAAGCAGGCTCCTGCTGAGCAGAGAGCCCGATGCGGGACTTGATCCCAGGACCCTGAGATCATGACCTGACTGAAGGTAGAGGCTTAACCCACTAAGCTACCCAGGTGCCCCCTAACTGCAGTTTCAACACTCAGAACTGTAACCTTTAACCAGGGGACATGGGAATTTCCATGTCAGCCCTAGGAAGTTTACTGATTGACCCCTCTGCTCTCCTTAGGAGGGTGACCTTACCTAAAACAATGGATTCTTTCCTAATACTTTTTTCACTTCCTTTCTACTGTTAAAAATCTTCCCTTTTTTGTAGCCCTTTGGAGCTCCCCTCTACTTGCTAGATACTGCCTGATTCATGAATAGATCAATTGATACAACCAACTAGATCTTTGAAATTTATTTGATTGAATTTTTGTTATTCATAAATTCATAGTTTGTTCAATGATCAAATTAGGGTCAAATATTTACCTTTGTTTTCACCTTGACTACAATGAAGAGCAAATAAAATTATGTCAGTGGAAATGTTTGCTCTTGAAAACTTAACATGGGTGAATTTATTTTTATATTTATTGTATTTATTTATATAATTTCCTAAAACCCACTAAAATAAGATGACACAGTCAGCCCTAATTTTTTTCTATAGCTAAGAGACAGAGAGGAAACAAATGAACAAAGCATACATTTAATGAAACCCCTGGGCTAAAGTATCCTGTTAGGTTTTGATTTTCTAGTGATCAGAGAAAATAAAATAAAATGTGTAGTAAGTTCCATGGTAATGATTATGGTAAGGGAGAAGTTTCTCTTTATGATGTGTTTTACTTGGAACTTATTAGTGAAAGGAATGCCTTCCAAGGTCTTCTCATAGCATCAAAGCTGAAGAGGGCATTTCTGTTAATACAATTCTACAGCAAATTTCTAGTGATGTTTCTTGAAAATTTTTTTGTTTGTTTTGTTTTTCATTAAATATATATATATATATATATATATATATATATATATATATATATATATATATAGTGGCTTAGTCAGTTAGTTAAGTGGCTCCTTAGTGGCTCAGTCAGTTAAGATTTCTCCAGAAAGGGCTTTTATCTCTCTGGAGAGGGTTTCTCTAATATCTTCCATGCCTTTTTCAAGCCTGGCTAGAACCTTGAGAATTGTCATTCTTAACTCTAGATTTAACATATTACCAATGTCCGTATTGATTAGGTCCCTAGCCTTTGGTACTGCCTCTTTTTCTTTTTTTTTTTTTTTTGTGGTGAGTTTTTTCGCCTTGTCATTTTCTCTAGATAAGAATATATGAAGGAGTAAATTAAATACTAAAATGGTGGCAAAGTCCCCAGGAAAATGTGCTTTAACCAAATCAGAAGAGACCCCAAATCGTTGGGGGGGAAAAGGGGATAAAAAGAAGTTCAGAGAAAAAAAATTACAAAAAGAAAACAAATAAGGAAAAAATATAAATAAGGGAATATATATACATGTATATATGTATATATATATATATATATATATATATATATATACATATATATATATTAGTCTGGTGACTAGAACAGGGTCACCCACTTAATTTTGGGAATATTTTGGTCTCTTAGAAGAAACTACCTCCCAAAATTTTAAAGAATGAAAAACATATATAAGGGTAAATACAATGAAGTGATGGAATACGCCTATAAAGAGGAAAATTTTTTTTTAATTTTTAAAAAAGGAGTTGATAAATTAAGTTAGTTGGGGGAATAAAGAAAAAGAAAGTGGAGAGAATTTGCTTGGGCTGGAGTCTAGAACAAGCCCAGTGCTAGATTTAGGGCATATTTTGATCTATTAGAAGAAGTTTCACCCCAAATTTTTTAGAAGAAAAACCCCTATGTGTATACAAAAAATAAAGTTAGATACAATGAGGGATTAAATATGACTATAAGAATGAAGGTTCAAAAAAGATTATTATTTTTTTTTATAAAAGGTATTGTTAAGATAAACTAGTTAAAAAACATTAAAAGAGGAAAGGGTAAAAGTTTAAAAAAATAAGCAGAAGAAAAAATAAAATAAAATTTAATTAATTAACTGCAAGACTAAAGAATCATGGGGAGAAAGCCATGAATTCCATGATTTGCTTTCTCCTCTGGAATTCCGCTGTTCTCCTTGGTAAGTGAACTTGGTCTTGGCTGGATTTCTTGATCTTCTGGGGGAGGGACCTGTTGTAGTGATTCTCAAGTGTCTTTGCCTGAGGCAGAATTGCACCACCCTTACCAGGGGCCAGGCTAAATAATCTGCTTAGGTTCACTTTTGGGAGCTTTTGTTCCCTGCTTTCCGTAGAGTTCCAGAGATGGGAATGAAAATGGTGGCCACCCAATCTCTGACCTGGAGGAGCCAAGAGCTCAGGGCCCCACTCCTCAGTGTGTCCTCAGAATAAAGCACTCAATTGCTCCAGTTTTTCTGGCCTCTGGCCTGCTTGGAGAAAAGCGCTCAATCAGTCCAGTCTCCCTGGCCTCCAGCCATGCTCCGAGCTCACACAGTCTGTGACCAAGCATCTCTGTCTCTGGCACACAGCTCCACCTGGATTCTCCAAACCCCGCAGACCCCTGAGCTCTTTCAGAGGGTGTCTCCCAGGATCTTGTGGGGACCCCACTCACAGAGCAGTTGCCTGTGCCACAGATTACAGTTCAAGGAACCCCGAGTTGAGAGCTCACTCCTCAGCTCTGTCTCTGTGGCTGGCTTCCCCGCTTTAATACCTGGGAGCTCTGCAACACTCAGACACCCCCAATCCTACTGTGACCCCGCAGGACCTGAGGCCACGCTGACCCCACATGGGCTTCACCCCGGTTTAGCCTCTGGAGCAATGTCCCTCAGTGGAGCAGACTTTTAAAAGTCCTGATTTTGTGCTCTGTTGCTCCGCCCCTTGCTGGGAGCTGGCCCCTCCCCCCGCGGTCTATCTTCCTGTCGCTTTGTATTCACTTCTTCCCCGGTCCTACCTTTCAGAAAGTGGTCGATTTTCTGGTTCTAGAATTGTTGCTCTTCTCTTCAATCTCCTGTTGGATTTGTAGGTGTTTGCAATGGATTGATAAGCTATCTCGTTGCTCTCCTGCTACCTGGTGTGGTCTCAGCCTGCTACTTCTCTGCCATCTTGACTCCTCTGCACAAGGGTCTTACAGGATTCTTGCATTCTTTACAGTCTGAGAAACCAACATCTGAGAACCAACATCTGAAGGTAGAGAATCACTTGAGAGGAACACAAAACAACACAAGTCCGTGAGCTTTTCCCTGAAAGGAGTGAATGAAAAATATGCATGAAGGCTCTCTGAGGGCTTATAGCTGCTTTTCTATCATTTCAACTTTTGAAGAGAAAGCACAGTTCTTTATGGTGCATCTTTATAGATAAGGTATTCTTTATAGATAAGGTATTCTTTTTTTTTTGTTTTTTTTTTCTCTTTTTTTTTGTTTTTTTTTTGTTCTCTCTTTTTTTTCTCTCTCTTTTTGTTTGTTTACAGTTTGTTTTTTCACAGTTAAGTTGGTTCAGGACACTTAAAAGTCTAGTGATCTACCATGACAGTAGGAGGCTTGCAAGACCAGACAACCAGATGTTGTTCTAGTCATTCCACCCTGAATTTTCACTGTAGGAGTTTCAAGCCAAACTTTTGGCATGATCTGGAAAGAAGTCAGTGTAAGGTAAAAATTTCTGGTGAGAGCTTGGAATGCACATAGATTGTGCTGTTGGTGAGAAAAACACCGTTTGTATTGAAGAACACAGATGAAGCAATTCCATAAATTGACCATACATTACTAGGCTTTGGCCAATGTTCTCTTTGATTTTCTTACACTGGAAATGCAGTAGATAAAACAAGACAAGTCAATGCCTACTGATTGCTGTGTCAAGGGCCGATTTTCAGTGATGATGACTCAGTGAATTCTAGACATAGTAGAACAAAGTGGGGTGCAAGCAAAAGAATAAGTCCCTATGCGTGATTAGCATAGATCTAATCATTACCCCCAAATACTGTATTCTCATTAGTAAGGGAAGATTTGGTCCCCAGATTAAGATGTCATGTTGGAAGACACAATCATCACAAATTGCTAATAATAATAGTAATGATACTATAATATCTCATTTTCACATCATGTTTAGATGTGGAAATCTTATGAAAGATTTTAATACCAATATTTACAGTAGAGGTCAGCATGGTGCAAACATTGTAATAGGATCTGACTCTGTGTCTGTGTCAACTTGCAGAACATGCTCATGCACCAGGGTGCCTGGGTGGCTCAGTCAGCTGAATGTCTTGCCTTTGGCTCTGGTCATGGTCTTGGGGTCCTAGAATCAAGGCCTGCATCAGGCTCCCTGTTGAGCGGAGAGTCTGCTTCTCCTCCTGCATCTCCCCCCACCTTCTGCTTGTGATTTCTCTCTCTCTCAAATAAATAATAAACCCTTAAAAAAAATCCCATGCTCATATAAAACATGGGTAATTGTCATGAAAGTGTTTGGCCCCAAAACAAAGTTGATCATGACAGATAACTTGTGTGAGTTGACATGTTTCCTTTCCAGATGGTGAAAGGGTGTTGTCAGAAAGCCTGGTTTTGGACCCAGGCTGACCTGGAGATCTGGCTTCAACACTTGTTGCTTATGTGAACTTGGGTGATTATACCCTGGCCTCCAGTTCCTAATTCATAAAATGGGATAACAGTATGTATCCAGTAGGGGTCATAAGAAATTTGAATGAGACTGAATAAAGTGCCTGGCTCAATGCCTAAAGCACCGTAGTTGCTGTGTAGGTGTTGCCCCATTTCAAACCTAAGGGGAGAATTGTATCCAGTATGGAAAGTGGTTTGTAGCCAATCATACTGACAGAGCAGAAATTCTTCAGAGGATTTGGCTTTATTTCTAACTGCTCCAATGGAAAATTACCTTACTGTCCACAGATATACAAAAATCTTGAATTTAGAAGTGTTCATTTCTTCTCAGTGGACTTTTTCCAAAATTGGCAACAAAAATGAAATTAAAATGTGTTTTATTTTTTAATTTTTTGTATTTTCTTTATGTATTTTATTTTGGGGGGAAGGTTTATAATACTCAATTTTTATTTTTATTTTTTAATTTTTTTCTTCTCTTTTTTTTTATTATGTCATGTAGTCACCATACAGTACATCACTAATTTTTGACGCAGTGTTCTAGGATTCATTGTTTGTGTATAACACCCAGTGCTCTATGCAGTACATTCCCTCCTTAATACCCATCACCGGGCTAACCTATCCCCCCATGTATTTTAAATCTTAGTCCTTTATCTTAATTGATATCATCTCTAAAACATACAAGTTTGGACTTAGTACTCATATTTAGTAGAAAAACAATTAAAGATTGAAAATATAGTTAGAATGTACTTAGAAATACAGTTAGAGATACAGTTATTACTTTTAAATATACTTAGAAATTCATAAATTTGAAATTCATATTTGCATATGAAATAACTATGATTATTTAACAAAAGAAAAATAAGAATAAAATAGAAAAACTTTGAATCAATACCCATATGCAAGTTTGAAATATCACACTTAATTGAAAATGTGGTTGCATTTGTTTAATTTGTATATAATTCATCTTGTTTCTTTAATAAAATATATACAGTTCAGGCAATTAACTTCAAAACTTTTTTTGATTATGAATATATATAAATGTATTGGGCAAATTTATTTATTTTGTAAACTGGTTTCTATTTTATGCATCATGAAAATGATTTTGGCCATCAAAAAAAACCTTAATAAATTTTAAAAAGAATGTTGAAAGTAAAACATGTAATATAATTACCCAAAATATAGGCACTAAGCATACTAATCAAGTGCACTATTTAATGCTCAGCTAACTATCACATTGAGAAAAATATGGAAGTTCAAGATTCATTCTGTGAAAAGAATGAAAATTCATGCATCTACCTATGGAAAAGGGACAAGAGGTAAGCATACTGTCTTACCATCCAGAAAGTTTCCAAATTCATCCTTTGATTTTCAAGTTCTTTATTATATTTTTTATTTTTTATTTATTTTTTTTAAAGATTTTATTTATTTATTTGACAGACAGAGATCACAGGTAGGCAGAGAGGCAGGCAGAGAGAGAGGAGGAAGCAGGCTCCCTGCTGAGCAGAGAGCGAAGGCAGAGGCTTCAACCCACTGAGCCACCCAGGCACCCCTCAAGTTCTTTATTATGACAAATCAGAATGATTTCTATAAGAAAACCAAGCTTCATAAGATGAAAAGCGGATTCTTTAATCTATTGATGGGAGGCTAAAATTGTGTAAACATCATGTACTGTGAAAAATTAGTCTTGTTTTATATAACACGCTTCTTACAGACAAAGTAGTACATGGTTGGAGAAATAATAGTGTCTTACTATCATAATCAATAAAATGCTATCTATTCTAGAGCAATATATACAAAGTTAAAACAAGTACATTATGATATGTTTCATTATAGCATGAGTAAATAACTCGTCATTGCTTGTTTATGAATTTAGTATAAATAACAGGAGTTTTGCTGCACAAGCACAAATTCTCAAGAATTTTTCAGGAGGGCACATATTGCATGGAGCACTGGGTGTGGTGCATAAACAATGAATCTTGGAACACTGACAAAAACAATAAAGAAAGAAAGAAAGAAAGAAAGAAAGAAAGAAAGAAAGAAAGAAAGAAAGAAATTTTATTCTTTTCTTCTCAAAGGTGAAATCCAATTCTGGTTTGCTTAGGAAGTTTCCCATTAGATTATTATTCTAACTCTAAACTAGTCCACAGAGAAAATGAATAAAACATCTGTGTTTCACTTGGAAAACAAATTGGAAAGGGTTCTACTATTTATAATTTCAATCACTAAATTAACATAAATATATAAGTAAGGAAAATTTCAGCATTCAAATGGCATGTCCTTGAAAACTCTGATATTTTGACATTACAACTGTAGAAAACTTAGAACCAAAACTATTAACGTAACAACGGTTACGTATAATTGTATTCAGAGGATGAAATCAAATAAAATTGTGGAATACTACAAATTCAGCAGGCTACTAGGGCAGATACAAATTCAGTGGGGAGATACTAAGAGTCAAATTATGGTGTCTTCTTAGTCAAACTTCAACTTCAATTGAAATTCCACCCTAAAATGTGCTTTTAGCACACATTTCCTAAAGGAAACAAAGTTGTGATCAATGCATTACTTGATACAGTTAATATAAGGACATTTATGGAAATTCAGTAAATTTTTTTGAGCAAAATTTTGGAAATATTGCAACATTGCTTCTAAATTCAAGGCCTTGTAAATAATTTGGAGGCGCAATTTTAATACTTTCCTACTCAAAGTCCTAGAGTGATTCAGATGTGAAAGTGAAATAGTCTATAAAGTCAGAAATCAAGGAAAAGAATTCCAGTATCAGAAGAAGTCATGAGATCCATATTTAAAGTTCAATTTGATATATGTCATATACATATGGAAATATATTCCCATTCATACAAGTTGCTATGTATTGTTCCAAAAAAAATTCCACGTCTTAAGCCAGGTTCTGTCACTTAATAGCTATGACTCTGAGTAAGTAACATAATCTCTAGGACTTCTTTTCCCATGGAAACTAAGAAGAATTAATAATTCAAAACCCACTGTGGGTGAAAGGCCATGGCAAATACTAGTTCTATAGCAAGTTTTCCTTCCTTTTACTATGTTAGGTATTCCCAAACCACAAAATATTTGTGTTTCTCTAACATATTTTTAATTGCTCTTCCATTTTCTCCCACAGATAAAAATCCTAATGAAGACATTTCCACCAAGCCCACAGTATTTCTTCCTTCAATTGCTGAAATAAAAGCCCTTAAGGCTGGAACATATCTTTGTCTTCTTGAGGATTTTTTCCCTGATGTTATCAAGATAGATTGGAAAGAAAAGGATGACAAAAAAAATTCTGAAATCCCAACAGGGAAACACCATGAAGACTAAGGACACATACATGAAATTCAGTTGGCTGACCGTGACTGGAGCGTCAATGGTTAAAGAACACAAATGTATCATCAAACACAAGAATAATAAAGGAAGAGTTGATGAAGAAATTCTTTTTCCTTCAGTAAACAAAGGTATGTGCATATAAGTAGGCATATAACCTGAACCCTTTGTTTCAAAGGGAATGTCCCAACTTTTCTGTCAAGTATTAATGGAAAATAAACAAATAGAAATCTTTCTTTATCCTGTTACCTTTAATGGTAGCATCACTGTCCTGCTGTTTCCCTATAG